GTCACTTCCCCTCAGTGGACTTGGGGTCCGTGTCCTTGGACCCAGGGGTCTGACGTGACCCACAGCGCCACGCTGGACCCGGGCCCCGCGGAGCAGCGCGCCAGGTCTGGTTCCTGCCTTGGGGAAGTCTTTGGAGCTCACGGGTGAACCACGGTGGTGTCTGGAGGCAAGGTGTGGGGGCGCCCGGGTGAGTCCCTGTTGGATCGCTGCCAGCGGGGTGGGAGCTGTGGGACAGGCACGGGGGCAGCTGGGGACAGCTCTGCCTGGCTTCTGAGGATAAGGATTCTGCTCCTGGGAGTCCTCAGCTGCTGCCCTGAGTCTGAGGGCAGACTCTTAAAGCTCCTAGACCAGTGGTTCTCAACCTTCCTAATGCCGCGACCTTTTAATACAGTTCCTCATGTTGTGGTGACCCCCAATTTCATTGTTACAAATTGAACATAGTTGAAGCCTAGTGATTCATCACAAAAACAATATGTAATTATATATGTGTTTTCCGATGGTCTTAGGCGACCCCTGTGAAAGGGTCGTTCGACCGCCAAAGGGGTCGCGACCCACAGGTTGAGAACCACTGTCCTAGACAATTTCAAAGGAGCAGTGGTGCGCTGGGGCTGGCGCGAAACAGTTCATGGAATCTACTGGCTAATCCCCAGATCGTTTTTTGGTTTTGACTTGCAAGCCATTATTAAAAAATTATATTTACAATTAATTTTGTTAAAAACAAAGGATACTTGCCCGGCCAGGGTTGCTCAGTGGTTGGGCATCAACCTATCAACCAGGAGGTCATGGTTCCATTCCTGGTCAGGGCACATGTCAGTCCCCAGTGTGGGGCGTGCAGTAGGCAACTGATCAATGGTTCTCTCTCGTCATTGATGTTCCTCCCTCCCTCCCTCTCTCTTCCTCTCTGAAATCAGTAAAAATATAAAGAAGAAAGAGGAGACTCAAAACTCATTCCTTCCTAATTGCTTGCTTACACTTTACAAGTATACGCTCTGGCGGTGAATTAACTGCATCTGGACAGTGTGCATCAGCCTCCCAAGGTGGTGTCGGGTGGCTTCACGTGGGAACTGGCACATGCTACCCGGTAGGGCTGCCCCCGCCTGCAGATGCGTTCAACACTGACCAGCACACCGCTGCTTCCGAGTCCCGTTCCCGCCTCCCCTGGATCAAGGCCACTCGCTCGCTCTGTAAATCTCTTTCAATCATCTGACCCTCTCCGTGCCAAGCGGTGCCTGACGAGCCCCATCCCGGGGAAGGGGCAGGGCCATGTGGGAGGCAGTGGTTGGAGGTGAAGAGAAGCCACGACCACAAACCCGATCGCCCCTCTATCCCCATCGGGGAGAAAGGCGTGCAGCTTACTGAGATGTGCCTGGACTTAACGGAGAGGAGCGCGGGCAGAGGCCATGTGTCTGGACTGGCGAGGGTGCACCGTTTTCCTCCTGGAAGGGAAAGTGCGGTTACAATGGAGCCGTCACCTGCAGGGTGGCCCCCAGTCGCCGCTGACCCTGCTGCACCCTGGGGACCATGAAGCCTGCTGGGCCATCCCCCAGGGGGCCAGTGCACTGTGACCCCTCCTCCCGCCTGGCCACTGTCCTATTTATAACTGCTCGTGTTCTTCAAACTGGGGCGTCCAAGATCGCCCTGGAGTGGGGGGAGGAAAACGGAACTTGTTTGTTTTTATTTAAAAAATACGTCCTAACCGGTTTGGCTCAGTGGATAGAGCGTCGGCCTGCGGACTCAAGGGTCCCAGGTTCGATTCCGGTCAGGGGCGTGTACCTTGGTTACGGGCACATTCCCAGTGGGGAGTGTGCAGGAGGCAGCTGATCGATGTTTCTGGCTCTCTGTCCCTCTCCCTTCCCCTCTGTGGAAAACCAATAAAATATATTTAAAAAATAAATAAAATAAATAAAAAATACAATTGCGCCCTAACTGGTTTGGCTCAGTGGATAGAGTGTCAGCCTGCGGACTGAAGGGTCCCAGGTTCGATTCCGGTCAAGGGCATGTACCTTGGTTGTGGGCACATCCCAGTAGGGAGTGTGCAGGAGGCAGCTGATTGATGTTTCTCTCTCATCAATGATTCTAACTCTCTATCCCTCTCCATTCCTCTCTATAAAAAAAAATCAATAAGATATATATATATATATAAAAATACGATTGCCCTAGCTAGTTTGGCTCAGTGGATAGAGCGTTGGCCTGTGGAATGAAGGGTCCTGGGTTGGATTCTGGTCAAGGGCACATGCCTGGGTTATGGACTTGGTCCCCAGCAGGGGGATGCAGGAGGCAGTCGATCAATGATTCTGTCATCACTGATGTTTCTTTCTCTCTCCCTCTGTGCAATCAATAAAAATATATTTTAAAATAATGACATAAATAAAAAAATACAACGATTGCCCTAGCTGGTTTGGCTCAGTGGACAGAGCATCGGCTTGCAGACCAGAGTCCCAGGTTTGATTCTGGTCAAGGCCATGTACCCTGGTTGCAGGCTCTTTCCCGGCTCTGTCCCTGGTCAGGGCTCATGCAGGAGACAACCAATCGAAGCGTTTCTTTTCTTTTCTTTTTTATATTTTATTGATTTTTTACAGAGAGGAAGGGAGAGGGATAGAGAGCCAGACACATCGATGAGAGAGAAACATTGATCAGCTGCCTCCTGCACACTCCCCACTGGGGATGTGCCCGCAACCCAGGTACATGCCCTTCACCGGAATCGAACCTGGGACCTTTCAGTCCGCAGGCCGACGCTCTATCCACTGAGCCAAACCGATTTTGGCTGATGCGTTTCTTTCACACCGATGTTTCTCTCTGTCTTTCTCTCTCTCTTCCACTCTCCCTTAAAAAAAAAAAAAAAAAAAAAAAAAAAGGAAAAATATCCTCAGATGAGGATTAACAAAAAACAAAAACTAAAAAATACAACTATAAGCAAGCAGATAAGCTTAGTTGATGTTTAATATACGAAATAGTAGGTATATTATATACACTGGAAGTGCAAGCTCAGGAAAAAATTTGTTCTATCGATCGTGTGGCCCGGGCCAGCCACCTCCTTGGAGATAAATACTTTCATTTTTGTAACCCCAAAGGCCTATCAGGATCAGGTAAGTGCAGGGGCTCCACAAATGGACGCTGAAATACAAACTACTCCTTCCTTTCCGGGGGCTCAAGGCCTCTCCCTCTCTCCTTCCTTCTGGTGGAGGAGTCAGGTCGGATCACAGATAGTCAAGGCTCACAGACCGCACAAAGGGCCTCTGCCGCAGGGGGTGGGGCTTTGGAGAAGCAAGTGGGGCTGCTGGGTCTGCCTCCTCCGGTTCCCCTCCCTCTGCTGTGGCTTCTGCTCAGACGGGACACTAGTCTTCAGGAGCTCAAGGTCGTCAAAGGAATGAATGACTCACGATCAAGGCTGGGAAAGTGGACCCTGGCTCTCCAGAACACGCCCTGGCACTCCTTAGCCTCACGGCTCGGGGGGCAGGGCTGAGGGCAGCTGGAGTGGGGGCAGGGGCGGGCGTAGGCCGGTATGTGAACATCACCCAACCCGGCCTCTTGGTCAACAGCTGCGGACACCTGTGACCCTGAGGGATGGGGACAGGTGACATTTATGTCTTCTACGCTGTAACCCAAAGCGACACACTTCACAGGTTCCCTGTGTCCTGTCCTCCCGCCACCAGCGTCAGAGGAACCCGCGACTTGGGTGTGTGCAGTGAGAACGCCGTGTCCTGCTCAGTGTGGCTTGTTTCTGAGCTCGTCTTCTGGAACCTGCTCCTTTTACCCAGCTTGCTCCCTTTAAGCTATCCACAGGAACAGCACAGCTTACTTTCTGTTCCACAATGAATTTTATTTTATTTAGGAAAGCGACATACAGTCCTGGGTACGTCCGAGTGCAGCGCGTGGAAAGACAGGAAAGACACTGGGCTGCCGCGGGCTGGCTTCTGCCTCTGGACTGGGCCTCACTGGCTGACAGGGTTGCTTCGGCGTCGGGAACACTTGGCAGAACCCAGTCTGTGGCTGCCTCTGCCGTTTCAGCAGGCGTTTTGTGGATTAACGTTTTATGCCGGGTTTCATCTCCATTGTTCACTCATTTGATAAATATGACAGGGATTGTGCTGAGGACACAAAGGGGAACAAGAAACACTCCCTGCCCACAGCGGCTCACAATCTAACGTGAGGCACAGAAGCAAACAGTCGGCACAATACAGAGCGGCAAGTCTGTGCAAGCTCACTGTGGTGCGGGCACGGCAGGACGCCCCCCGACACGGCTGTGGGGTGGCCTAACATTGAGACCAGGAAGCCGAGGTGTGTCTGCCGGGCAACACAGAGACCCCCCGGCCCAAGTCTGACCCTTCTGTCATCACCTTGTTCAAGTCCCTCATCTACCTGCCCTGTCTCCTCTTGGGAAGTTCATTATCTCACGGCCTGTTCTAGGCACAAGTCACTTTGCACAGGTGGCTAGTTTCCACATGTGCACCTTACCCCAGGCTGCTGTCTCCCCGAGAACCAAGTCTTTTTACACGGCACCTATGACTACGTGGTAGACAGAGAGGCTGCCCAGGGAACCGGGCTGGGAGGCAGACGGCTCTCACGTGAGTGGGCACTTCTCCAGCACTTGGCTGGAGTGACGACGAGGAAGGCTGCAGTAGGTGAAAAGGGCCTGGGCCCTGGCCGGTGTGGCTCAGTTGGTTGAGCTCTGTCCTGTGCACCGAAAGGTTGCAGGTTTGATTCCCAGTCAGGGCACACACCCGGGGCTGCGGGTTTGATCCCCAGTTGGGGTGTGTGCAGGAGGCAACAGATCGATGCTTTCTCTCACATCAAAGTGTGGGGTTTTTTTCCTTCCTCTCTCTCTCCTTTCCTTCCTCTTTCTAAGATCAATAAAAATATATTTAAAAAAAGAAAAAAAGAAAAGGGTCTGGGATAAACAAAGAAGTTATACAGAGAAAGCATACCTACTAGGCTGCTGCTCGGACTAGAACACTCGGAATACTTCTACTGATAAATGCAAAAACTCAGACCACAAACAGTTCTCTCGGCAGCACAACTGTTTGAAAGAAACAGACAATCAAACAGCATTTCATAGCAAACACAAGCTAGACAGTAACCGCACACTCCCCCACTGAACACTCTGGGAACCCGCGGCCCTGCGGCCGGCCACGGGCTCAGTCGAACGTGATCCGGAAGCTGCGCTCCTGCTCCTTGCGTCGCCCCTCGCACACCTTGGTCACCTCCTCCACCTTCCTCTGCAGCAGGGCCGAGTTCTGGTCGATCCACTGCAGGGAGTCCATGTGTGCGTTGAGGATCTTGCAGATCTGCTGCAGCGGGTCGCTGGTGTCGGCGGGGCCCCCGGACGTGTTCAGGTGCTCGATGATGTCCTTGAGGTCCTGGGCCATGCGCTTCAGCTGTGCGTCGATGTTCTCGGCCAGCTTGTAGGTCTTCTCGCGCTCCTCGTCGGCGTGCTGCAGGTAGACGGTCCCGCTCTGCTCCTTGACGGACTCCTCCAGAGGGCTCAGCAGGTCCTCCAGCTCCTTCTGCTGCGACAGGATGAAGTCCAGCTCTTGGTCCAGCCTCTTCTGGTCCAGCTTCACCTTCTCCACCTCGCGGTGGAGGGCGGTGATCTTCTCCCCGTTCTCGATCAGCGTGCGGTCCCAGGCGTTGACCTGGGTGGCCTGCTGCAGGAAGTGCCGCTCCTGGTCCTCCAGCTCCAGGCTCCACTTGTTGATCAGACTCTCCAGCTGGGCGTAGGTCATCACGGGACTGGTGGCCGCCCCAGTGGCCGCACTGGGGCCAGACGGAGCGGTTATGGCAGTGGGCGCATTGCTGGGGATCCCGGCTGGTGCCAGGGGTTTTAGATTCAAGGAGAAGCTGCTGGTGCTGGTGGTGGTGGCGGCGGTGGATGTCGCTGTGGACGTGGTGGGAGCTGCTCCAGGACCCTTTAGGCTGAAGCCCAGCATTCCAGGCCCAGACGTTCCAGCCGTGGTTGCTGGGGTCCCAAGAGAGAGCCCGGTGGCAGCAGACGAGGTCGGAGCAGTAGCTAGCGAAGCAAAGAGTGTGGGTCCAGCACTGGTGGTGGCAGCAGTGGGTGCGGGAGCAGCTGGCTGTGTGGTTCCTGCTCCAGTGGCTGCCGGTGTGGCCGGAGTGAAGGCCAACCCGGCAAGTGTCGTGGGCTGGGCCGAACTCCCCATGGAGCCAATACTGAAACTGGAGGTCCCCCCAGCCTGGGTCGTGCCTCCACCTGTGAACGAGAAGCCCCCGGGTGTGGTGGATGGAGCAGAAGAGGTGGTGGTGGAGCCAAACACAAAGCCGGTGGGTGCTGTGCCCTGGCTGGAGGTGACGGCGCTGGAGATGGCGTTGGTGAGGGTGCTGCTACCGAGCCCGAAGCCAGTGGGCTGTGCTGTGGCTGGGGTGGCAGCTGCATTGCCCAAGTTTAGCTTTGGGGTGCTGATCCCTAAGGAAAACCCAGTGCCTCCAGTAGCAGGAGTTGTGGTTCCAAAACTGAATCCTGAGGTCTGTGTTGCTGGCGCTTGGGTAGGGAGTGAGAACAGGCTGGTAGAAGGGGTGCTCGCAGTGGGCTGGGAGGGAGCCCCAAAATTAAACCCGCCAGTGCCAGGCGTAGAGAAAGAAAACCCGGTGGCAGGGGTGGTTGTCGCTGTCTTTGCAGTGCCAAATGTGAACCCGCCTGTGGGGGCCCCAGTGCCTCCAAAATTAAACCCGCTCATGGCTCCAGACTCCGGTGGCAACAGCTCTCCAGCTCCCAAAGCAAATCGTCAGCGTCGTCCGCAACCTTGGGAAGATTTTTAAAGCAGAGGAAGTGACATGGTCAGATGGCAGTTTTGGAAAGGCAGCCTCACCGGCACGGGCGCGGTCTGGAGAGCGGCGGGGACGGACTGTCCTAACGAGGCCGCTCTCCTCTTCCTGACCGGCCCTAAGTCAGCTAGCAAAGGCGGAGCGGCGGCTCGGCGCTGGGAGAGAGTGCTTGGGACCTGCGTGTGCTCAGCAGAGCAGGAGCCCCACGGCCATGGGGAGTCCAAGGGCAGGCACCTGAACTGACCTCAGTCCCCGAAGCACACCCAGCTCCACCTGTAGGATCTGCTCCCCAGGGTTCCCTGCTGCGGCTGGAAGCGGGGAGAGGAAGGGGGTAGAGTGTGCCTCCTTGAGCGGCCTGGTGGACCTCAAGGAACAGGCCCTGGAAAGCTGAGCTCTATGGTGGGGCTCCATCCATGCGCATCCCTCATCATTTAGGAGGACAGAGGGCCTGTTGGAGCAACCCCCACCTTCCTTCTAACTAAGGGGCGGGCATGAAACCCAAGGGCTCAATCAGAGGGCTTGAAGGCGCAGTCCTTCAGCTGGTCAATGATTCTCTCTCATCATGGATGTTTTTCTCTCTCTCTCCCTCCCTCCCATGCTGGCACCCAGCTCTCCTCTCTGAAAGAAAAAGAAAGAAAAAAAGAACGAATGCAGTTGGGAAGCAGAAAGTGTCTGATGAAAGTGAGGCGTGACTTTGTGACTCCTTAGCGCTCCAATCTCTACCAAGGGACAGCAAACCTCTCTGAGGCTCAGTTCCCTCAGCGGGAAAGCGGGGTAGCAGCTACTGCGCTCAAGTGTGGCGAACGGTTGGGCACTAGTTAGGGCGCTCACTGCCACTGCTGCCAGGCACAGGCACAGGCCCACATTTCCACTCCGGGGAGAGCCCCTGGGGCTGGGGAGGAAGGAGGACTGTGCAGTGAGGGGATAACTCAGCAGCAGGGGCTGTGAGCACCCAGCCGTGAAGAAATTCTCGTGAAGAAGCCATGTGGGCTGTGGCTGACCTCAGGTTTAATATGAATTCACGGTCCAGCTGCCACGGCTCAGCGGGCCCTCTGGCTGCAGGACGAGCACCAGTTCCAACGCGGAGACGGGATTTCCCAGCAGCTAACCGCAGCCCCAGCAGCTGTGTGCCCAGCCCTGTGCTACCCACACTCCTCAGCTGGGCCCTAAGCTAACTTCCCAGTCATCCTACCGGGAGGCTGAGAAGACGGCCCCAGGGCACAGATGGGGAAGAAGCTCAGGTTACAGTAATTTGTCAGTCCTCACCCCACTGTAGCTGCCCCTCCGCAACTCCCACCTCGCCCCCTGCCTTCCTCTAAGAACCCTATTATTTTTTTGCCAGGTCTCTCCTCCACACAGCCATGTGCTTCTGGAGAAAGGACCCCACGGCCGCCCATGGTCCTGGTGGGTCTGCTCAGTCTAAGCAGATCTCAATAGGCTGCCCATGAGCAGCTCCTGGGAGCATTCAAAAGGTACACGGGCCCTGGCTGGGTAGCTCAGTTGGTTAGAGCATCATCCCGCTACACCAAGGTTGTGGGTTACATCTCCAGGTAGGGGACATACACGAAGCAACCAATGAATGCATAAACAAGTGGGACAACAAATCAATCCTCTCTCAGTCTCTCTCTCTCTCTCTCTCTCTCTCTCTCTCTCAATTCAATTAAAAAAAAAAATCCGACGCTGCCAGATTAATGATGGATGTCATTCTGGGGCAGGATCCTGGCCTTGACATTTTTACAAAGCTCTTCTGGGGGCTTCAGAGCAAGGCCTCTTTACTCTCAGGAGGCCACAGCAAGTGTCTGAGGCCCCAAGCACGCTGGCACCCAGCCCTTCTTGCGTGAGTGCACACACCTGTCACTGCAGAGCCACCTCAAGCTGGGTTTGTTGTTAGCAGCCACCCACATGTCTCAGTTCCTCAGCCCCTGAGAGCTTTAGCTATTAATAAATTGCAGTTAAAGTTCTCCCGAAGAGCATTTATACAAAGGTCTTTGCTTTTTATACTATTAAAAAACTGCAAAAAAAAGTCTTCTACGGGGGCTTGTGGTTTGCCATTTATCAAATGCGGCATTTGTTTCCAACATCCCAGCTGCCAGGGATCTACTAATAATGGCTTACCACACATCGGTCCCGCCTGTCTATGTGTTTAAGATGCCTTATTGCTCACTTGCTCCCGAAAACAGGTCCATTTGGGGCAGGTTCACTTTACAGACTAGGAGAGTGAGGCCCAGAGAGGTTACTAAGCCTTGGCCCCCTCTTCAGGGCAGCCAGAGACATGGCAAACATCAGCTTCAATCCCAGGACTGCAGGCAGGGGCAGCCAGGGCTGGGTCGCATGTGGGAGCAGGGCCAAGGCTCTCTGGCCCCGGTTCCAGGAAGCACACGCCTAAGCGGAGTGCTGGAGGGTGTGGGACCAACCAGAAGATGGGGAGGAAGGGCTGGTGAAAGTGGCTGAAACAGGTGTGCTTCTGGGGCGCTAAATGATTGTGCGGCTGGAGGGAGCGTGTGCAGTAAAGGGTTACTCAGCAGGTCCGAGCTGTCCACACCTTGCACGTTCCAAACAAAGGACTGGCCCTTGATGGGCTCCTGGGAGGGAACCTCTAAACCAGTGGTTCTCAACCTTCCTAATGCCACGACCCTTTAATACAGTTCCTCATGTTGTGGTGACCCCCAACCGTAAAATTATTTTTGTTGCTACTTCATAACTGTAATGTTGCTACTGTTATGAATCGTCATGTAAATACCTGATACGCAGGATGTCTTTTCATTGTTACAAATTGGACATAATTAAAACATAGTGATTAATCACAAAAACAATATGTAATTATATATGTGCTTTCCGATGGTCTTAGGCAACCCCTGCGAAAGGGTCGTTCGACTCCCAAAGGGGTCACGACCCACAGGTTGAGAAGAGCTGCTCTAAACCCTTAGAGCAAGCATGTCAAACTTGAGGCCAGTGGGCTGCGAGCCTCATTTATTTAAACGAGGCATGTGACTCGCTGGCCACGAGTTTGACATGGTTGCCTTAGAGTGTCCTGCCTGATAGAGAGTGTCTTTAAGATGGGGCATTGGGCCCTGACTGGTTTGGCTCAGTGGATAGAGCGTCAGCCTGCGGACTCAAGGGTCCCAGGATCAATTCCAGTCAAGGGCATGTACCTGGGTTGCGGGCACATCCCAGTAGGGGGTGTGCAGGAGGCAGCTGATTGATGTTTCTCTCTCATAGATGTTTCTAACTCTCGATACCTCTCCCTTCCTCTCTGTAAAAAAATCAATAAAACAAATTTTTAAAATTAAAAAAAAAAAAAAAAAAGATGGGGCATTGGGCCACACAGTATCAGTTTGACCTCTGCAGGGGTTGGACACTGAGTAAAAAATGTGACAGACTTTTAATAAAAAGCCTGGACAGCAAGGCTTGCCGTGTGCGGTCACACATCGTTGCTGGGAGCGTTAAGCGCTGTCTGTGTGACGTCCCTGGAAGAGACAACGGAAGCTGGTGCCTGGTCTCTCCTGGATTCTGCCTTGCGGTGCCTTTTCCCTGGGCTGATTCTTTTTTTTTTTTTTTTTTAAATATATTTTATTGATTTTTTACAGAGAGGAAGGGAGAGGGATAGAGAGTTAGAAACATCGATGAGAGAGAAACATCCATCAGCTGCCTCCTGCACACCCCCCACTGGGGATGTGCCCGCAACTAAGGTACATGCCCTTGACTGGAATCGAACCTGGGACCCTTCAGTCCGCAGGCCGATGCTCTATCCACTGAGCCAAACCGGTTAGGGCTCTGGGCTGATTCTCACTGTAACTACGAGCCTAACCGCTGTGCTGAGTTCTGAGTCCTTCTGGTGAATCACCAAATCTGAGGGTGGTCTGGGGACCCCTGACAATGTGCTGTGATACGAGGGGAAGAGAAAATGTATAAGTTTTTATCCAAATAAAATAAAGTGATGAGGGTCTGCAGGGTGTGTCCCAGTTAACAAAGCCATCGACAACTAGGATTCTGGGAATTTCCCACAAGTGCAGCTGACACACTGTTATGAGCTGACGCAGGTTTCCCACTTCGACCACAGTGGCGAGTTTTCCTAAAAGAGAAGCTGACGGTGCTCGGGGAAAGTGGGAGGAACAGAAACTGGAGAAGTGGGCCTTGCTGGGTGCGTGCCTAGGCCGGGCAGCACAGACATGCCCGTCTGCAGTTCACCCAGGATGAACTCGAGGCCACGAGCAGGGACTCCCTTGAGGTCACTGATGGAACTGGGCAGAGCCTGTCCCATGCTGCCCAAGTTTTTTCAAACCAGATCTCCTTGCCTCCCCAGCCCAGGAAAGTCAGAAAGGCCCACCTGGGATTCCAACCTACACACAACCCACCCCTGACTGAGCACCAGGGTTCTCTGCGGTCACCTCCAGCTTCGCCCAGGTCCAGTCACCTTCTCTATCTTTAGTTCTTTTGCCACTAAACTCCTAACTTTAGTATCTAACTCAGCCCTACTCTGTACAGTCATACATGAAGAGAAAAAGAGGCCCATCCCCCCAAGGTGAGATTATAGAGAGTAAACAAATTCTTTACAGTAGAACATTCATTCATTCAACAAATATTTGGGAGCACCCGCTATGTACAGGCACCGCTCAAGGCCCTGGAAACATGGCTGTGAACGAGACAGAGGGCACCCTGTTGTCATGGAGCTTACAGCCCAGCAGACAGAAAAACAACAATCGTTCAAATAAGTCACCATCGTGTTGTACGGTCTATGCACGAGGAACGAGAGAAAGCAGAGCATGGAAGGGAACTGGGGGCACCGGCGCTGGGTGAGGGGTTAACCAGGCTGGGACTTTCCCTCCCCCCCATACCAATCCCTCTCCTCAGGTATCTGGAACAGGGGTGTTTGGGAACAAAAATGGGAGGACATCAGCCTTGGACCAAGAGGAAATAAAGGATTAAGAAGGACAGGGGCCCTGGCCACTGTGGCTCGGTTGGTGAGTGTGGTCCCCT